ACCTCATTAATATAACAAAAAGTTAAAAATTAATAATAGTAAAGAAATATATAATAAATACCGTACAGCGCGGACCATAGTACCCCCATATCAAAGTACCCTCTATAAAAATTTTCGCAGTTGAATACAAGATACCCGGGTACTAACTATATAGCATATATCAATTCTATGTAAAATACACTTCTTATATAATACCCGAGTACTAACTTGGATGTTAGCTGTTTAATGTATCGTATCCGGAGTCTTATAGTCCGCGCTGTACGGTATATACCGTAATTTATTTATATTTATAACTTAAACATCATTTATAAAATTTTTTAATTCGTTATATTAATGAGGTAATATAAAATTACTAAGACTGTACTGTAATTCTAACTTTGAGGTTTTTTTTATTTTAAACTAGAACATTATATTACAGTTTTAAAATAGACAATATATCACATTTGGTGACTAAATAAATTGAAATCAATAAAGTATTTACCACGGCATCATTAAATATTAAAGTATCATGAACGTCTTTGATTAAAAAATATATCGCTTTTACCTAACTAAGATTGCTTTACTACATGATTACATAAGAGTAATTTCGGATAAACTTCTTTTAGATGAGGTTCTCATAAACTATTGCCGCGAGAGAGGTTGAAACTTAAACAAGATTTCCAAGATTTCCAAGTTTTTTAATTGGCGACACTTTAAATTTAGATTTAGAAAAAAAAATATTTCTATTACAGTATTTAATAACTAAATAAAATAATAATTGACAAATCCATTTCGATTTTTGGAAATGCTATTCATTTGAATAACCATTGTTATTGCATATATATAATAACGAGTGTGCTAATCAAATAAAATAAAAAAGTCAATTAATTATATTATTTATTTGTCTTCTACAAGAGGGTTGTAATGGTTATTCAATCAGGTAAAGACAATAAAAGTTTAAAAATTGCGGATTTTTTTGAAAGTTTCCAAAAATTTTCCAAAAAGGTATTTGTATTTATCTTTTGAATATTCGGCAAGACCATTACTACATGATTACAGTATTAATACCATATACGTAGTTGAGGTATTCGGATAAAATTATTAATACGTACATACTAATAAATAATAATAATATTATATTATATACGTAATAAAGAGTAGTCATTACAATACTAACAAAATAAAACACAATCAATATGTTTTCATAGCTTGTAAATATTGTTATTTACTAAATACCCTGTAAAATACTTGCGAAACAAAAGAAATCAAATGATTTATATATTCCCAGCGGTTTGTTGGAATTCACTCATGCAGGAGCTACGCCTTATACTCTCATACATACTCTTCCCAACCAGTCGTAGAATAAATAAAAATATGGCGCATATACATACAAATGTTTACCCCAAATGCGCTATTATTAATCACGGAACGGGTCTGCACCTTTTGGTTCGGGTTTTCATCGTGACATCATTCCTAAATGTCAATAAGTATGGCATATATGATAAGCATAAATAAAAACAATCAAACATAGATCATCTCAAGGATTGATAAGAACCCCACGATTTTCGGCAAAAAAAAACAAAATTAAGACTCTTAAATAATCCGAATGTTAATTATTACACAAATTTTTTGTAAAAAATATTAAAAAATCTTTTTATTCTACTTTTCTCCAATTATATTGTATTGTTTCTAGAACTTGTGCTTTATGACACGGACCAAGGTAATTTAATTTAATTAATTAAAATAATTAAAATAATTAAAATAATTAAGATAATTAAATGGTTAGAATTATCAAGTGTTTTAAGAGGCAAGTAATTTTATTACTACCTGCATTTTTTTATGCAACTAGTGATTTGATAGAAGCCTCGTGGCGCTACTGATGTATACCGCAAACAATAATAATAAGGCATCTATATGCGCCATGCACTAGTGTAATCGATTTATTGATAAGCAATATAGCCATTTCTAGAGTGTAAGATTTACGAATCCGCAGTGCGAGTTCTTTACTCATGGGAGTTCTCTACATACGAGAGTTCTTTACATACGAGAGACGAGAGTTCTTTACTCATAGGAGCTCTTTACTCATAGGAGTTCTTTACTCATAGGAGCTCTTTACTCATGGGAGTTCTCGTGGATCGCATTTTAAAAAAAAAAATGAAATGAAAAAACTAATAAAATGAAAACAAATCACTTTTTTTTTTTATTTCATAGATGTAAAAATTATTAGTGCTTTATAAGATTATTGAATCAAATCTAAATTCTTATTTTTTTCTATTGTAAATTCATAATGAAATGCTTTTTTTTTTTTTTTGTTGTTTTTTGTTTTGGCGCACACCGCATCTTAAAGATCTAGATCTTTGGTCTTTTTTTTCTTGTTAAAAATATGCGTACGAATGTTCATGTGAAGAAGAAATCATAAACCATCATCATAGCATAATGTGTTATCGTATATTAAAAAAAAAAAAAATGGTCATGATTATGTCCGCCAAAAATTGCGAATTATATGTATAATACATTAAGAGAAATACGAATAAGGATAATGTATCGTATCATCATACATTAGAGGTTGAGAATTTTCGTAAGATTGATCATAAAATTGATATTGTAGATCAGACATAAGTTGACCATAAAAAAGATTAGCATTACTTTGAAAGTAGTTACAATCATAGTAACTATCTTGATCGACTATTTGGAATTCGGATGGTAAAGCACCATCTAGACTGAATTCATTAAATTCATACGTCGGGGTACAAATACTCGGCGAAAGATTAATAGGTGCCATGTTGTTATAAACGATTTCTTGTGTATTTGACAGATTTTCTAATTTGATCGAACTTGATTCCGAAAGAGGCGTACTAACAGATGTTGAAACGGATGAAGAGTCATTTTCCGAATGTTGGTACTGTGGGATGACCTGCAACCAAGTTGTCGGAGGAACTTGAACTTGCTTAACCACTCGATTTTGACTTTTACTACGAGGTTGACGCTTTCTACGCGGGATCTTATTGGAATATAGTTTGAGATGTCGACTTTTCGCTTCATTTGCAAGGCGTCTATATTCCTGTTTTAATTAAAGAAAAAATGGAAAAGTTAAGAATGAGTTAAGGATGAGTTAAGAATGAAGCTAAGAAAATTCAAGGAAAAATCATTAAGAGGAGGATCACTTACCGACTTAACCTCTTCGCATTCGACTTTCCAGCTCGCTGAGGCCATCGAAGAAGCCGTTGTCATGGGTAGATAGTGACCTTGACGATGAAGCTCATCTACATATGCTTTGCGATAAATCATAAAGGCATTGGGCGATCTTGAAGGCATATCTCCATTTTTCTTATGAACTATTAGATCCGTTGTACTGATTTTCGGTGGAAAAGGAAGTTTTGCAATAATTGCAGTATCCGTGGATTTTAACTCTATAGGTTGTTCATCAGTACCTTGAACAAACGGTTTGAAATCAAGACTATTACTTGAAGTGGCATCTTTTCCTGTTGTTTCCATTATCAACATGGATTTCATATATGCTCTATAATTTATTGCACGGCCAAAGTGAGCTTAGAATTTTTGATGGATGGAGAATCATGGGGTTTTTATGCTTTTGGATTTCCCCTTAATTATAATAATTATAAGCCTTGTTCTTTACAAGCTTGCAATTGTTTTTATTTATGTTGATGTTCCAGTTACAAAGGTCAAATAAATGCGTAACCATTAATATTAAAACACTGTTAAATAAATAAATATGATGCGTTGAGTTTGCATATAGAAATAACAATACTCCTGTAAACAACAGCAACCCTAAGATAAATAGGTTTGTTGACTTTTCCTTGTGTTGCTGATCCGTCGAATATTCGAGTATTGTAATACTTTTTCTATAGACAATCGTAGAAAATTACAGACAATGTCCAAATATTCTAAATATTCTTGAATAGTTATCATCATATCACGCAATTTTTTTTTCCTATCTTTTTTTTTTTTTTTTTTTTTTTTTTTTTTTTTTTTTTTTTTTTTTTTTTTTTTTTTTTGATTGGTTTCGCTTGT